AATTTTTCACGATAAACCAACTGACCTGCTTTCATTCTCACTTATCAATTCTCACTGATGTGCCATCAGTGTATACCGATAGCGCAGGCGTAGTTAACATTCCATTATCACCAATTAAAAAAATCCTGTTTATTACGTACATCCATCATTTATTTTTACTACCACTACTTACTACTTACTATTTTTTTTATACAACTTAGAATGGCAAACAAGCTGACGGTCCACCTGATGAAAAGTTGTAACCATCGCCTATAGACATGAGCAGTACCATGGACATAACTGAGTATACTGTTTCGCTCATGATACCCCCCATGCGTTGCCATTCCTGAGGACTCAGGTGTTATTCCTCTGTACCCAGTAAATTCACGCCATATACCACCCTTCAAACCGAAACACAGCCATGCAACAGCTGGTTCACGGTTGAAACACGAATGGGACAGAGTTACCCAAGCAATCGACTTTTGTACTTACTACTTACTATTTAAACTAATCGACTGAATAAATTTAATTGTATTATCCTTAATATTTTAATTAATGTTATTTTATTATTATATTATTTCGTAATGTTTAAATACTACAAAAAAATTTAAAACTAAATTATTGTAATTTTTGTTTTCAATATTTGCACGCTTGATCTAAGTAGATTTTGTAAGGTACTTTTAATTTATATGAGCAAACGTTTTATACCCAAAATCATTGCAAATAAAATAATTAAATTATTATATTACTAAGTAATGATGATTTGATTCAAACCCTATTCTCAATTCTAGTTTTTATTACTCATGTGAGAGGCACACTTTTGTATCAAAAATATTCAGGCGGCCTTCCTTTTATACTACGCTATGAGGAATTAGATAAGTACTAAATCGTAGGGATTGGTGAGAGGGAGTTTTACGCCTTAAAACGAATACCTATATTTAACTTTGAGACCAACATTTAAACTTTGAAAGTTATACACGAGGTAACGTATTTGAGTTGTATACGGTATATATGGTTAGCCTGTTTGGGCGAATAAGACTAGCATTAGAGTAGCGCGGCGTAAATTATTACAAAGTCAAATGCTAACTCATATTTTTATCCTAAAGCTCAGAGGTCGTGAGAACAGAAGCCCTACTCTGGTTTTGTAATGTATTTCTGAATATATTTGTTCGATAGATGTATATACTTATACCTACACGGTTATCGAACGCGAGCAAATAAAAATAAGCAAAATTGTTCCTTTGTATCTGAAATTCGTGAAATATATATATTTTATAATATATATTTTTTTAATGGATGACAATGGAATGGTAATGTTATATGTTGGCGGAACCCCAGTGACGAATAGGAGAGAATGAAAAGGCAGGTCGGTTAGCCTATCATGATGAATATATCTGGAATTCAGAACAGTTATTTCCTGGGAATACCACGTGGAAGTCGACCTGACACTAGCAATGGGACTGGTAGTCCGTATTACAAACAATCCTACATTGGCATTGAAGAGATCTCTACGAATGGAAAATGTATCAAGTTTTCTTCGTATTATTCAAAATTATTTCTTCATAATATCTGTACGTCGTAATAATATGTAATTATGCCATTAAACTACTGTTTCATATATTACCAATTAATTTTAATAAAGGAAAAGCATTTTATAATTTATCCTATTAGGTTCCCTGTTAACTAAATAATATTTCTATATATTTGTATTTCTAAAAACACCTACATACATGAATTTAATTTAATATTAATTAAACAAATATAGATAATTATTATCTATTTGAAACTTTTATGATGCTTAATGTGTATGTGTGAATGTATGTGTGTGAATATAGTGAGTAGGGATAATATTTATATTATTATATGTATCACATCTTCCATATTTAGAACTAACAGAATTTTTCATCGTGCCTCACACCAAATTGTTTGTGATTATTTCTTGTAATTATTTATATTTATAATAAGTTTACTATTATAATCTTTTGGAGGAAACAATAAAGAGTAAGTATCTATCTATCTATCTATCTTGGCGTTATTAGTCATGATTATCACAATCATGATTAAAAACGCTAAGAATGTGCGATAATGTACAAATAATTTAATCAGAAAGTACCTAATTGTAATTTTATCGACTGTTATTAATCTATTGACAGATTGACACTCGAGAATCGATTTTGCAATCGATGTCTTACGCCATGATATGACAGCATTGTTTACGATAGTTCTCATCACTAGTAAATTACCAATGTAAAAAAAAAATGCATAAAAGGTTGTTGTTGGTTAAATTCGACGTCACTATACAGGCCTTTATAAACTCATGGCACTAGCTATGATACTATTCAGCCACTATAGCTATATAGAGTTTATGTCTATGTACATACAAGTTATGTATACAGCTATACTTATTAATAGAGATGTGCGTAACGATGGCGACTGGTAGTCGATGCGCAGACCACCTGTACAACATCACTACAGAATCTGTTGACAGACAAAGACGCAGATAACATGGAGCATCCCATTGGCGCATCCGTGGTGCTGCCCCGCCCACTGTCCGCGTCCGCCAATCAGAGCGATGGGCACAGATCTTGAGCATTATCTAGTTATCTGCTATCTCACTTGGCACAGTGGCGGTCGCTATTTTCAGAGGCTGTAAATGCTGCAATGAAATTCAGGTCTTCGAGTCCTTTGTTTGCTCCGAGTGGTAACGCCGTTTTAATAAATGCATAACTGAGCTTGTTTTGTTATTATCTAATATTATTATCCATGCAAATAGCCTCAAGGTATCCTACCAGTTGGTAGTGACCTCAAAGAATTTTTTTATTTTTAATGAATGTTTTAAAGTCTTACTATTTAATTATATTTTATTCTATACTCATTTTTATTTATTTTTTCTCACAATATTAAAACATTTTAGAAGTTACAAGTAAATATAAGTTTATACATCTTATATATTTACATGAATAGGTATATAGTTATCTCTATTTTTTTTATTTTTATTTCAATTTATCATTACATTGATATTATTGATGGCATTTCAATGACATTTGTCAAATGTAACAAATTTATTATTTAAACGAATCCTTACGGAATAACATATAGTGCTTAGGAGTACAGTTCCTTTTCCGTTAGTGTCGTAAGAGCCGAATAAGGGAGGGCGAGGGATAGGCAGCAGCGTCCCTCTTAAAACATCTCTAAAGCCTGACTGCGTTTGCTAATCTGCCTGCCAAGCGTGGTAACTACTGGCAAAACTCCCTTTATGGGGAAGTCCTACGTTCAGCAGCGGACAGTTAGCTGATATAATAATAAAAAAATAGCTACACAATATAACGGGAGCTATTGATAGTACGGTACAACAGTTCAACAACATGGTAAACATTTGAACAAAGACGCCTTTGTATGTTTTGTATAAAATTATGTTCAAATTATTTGTTGGTATCATTGGTACTAGGTATTGTTTACGGACTTGCCCATCACTATAGACAATAGTGATGTTCATGTTGGATATGAATCGAATCTTTGTTTGTGTAGATATTTCATTAGGTGCTCTATAAATATTAGGTGACTCATAAGGTGATTTTTTTTTTGATGGGTGAAAATGGTATGGTAACGGGATACGCTGGCGGAGCACCAGTAAAGGGTGATAGATGAGAATGAAAACAGGCCAGTTAGCCCATCATGATGAATTCATCAGGAATTAACCATGATAGTTTCCAGGGAGAACCGCGAGGAGGTCGACCTGGTTGGGTATATTGCTAGCAATGAGATTCTCAGTCTCCATCACTAACAATCCCTTTCCCCCCTCATAAGGTGATTTAGTAGATTTATAAGTAGGAATTTCTAGTATTTACCTATTTGTCTCATAAAAAAAGATTGTAAATTAGAAATGAAAGTAGGTATTAACTCGCCTCACTTGTTACCCTAATATTTGACTAACCGGAGGTGACTAAGTTTAATTAATTAAACCAATATTTTTTACTATATTGTAGGTAGTTTTATACACGACAAAAATATATAAGTATATATCGTTTCTCTTTACATACCAACCCATTGTATTTTAGAATACAAAAGAATAATGCTATCCAATAAAAAATTCCCTTAATAATACATCAGTATTGCTAAGTTCATTCATTCCTGTTTGTTTTCTTAATCGGCTTCTTGTCTCGTATCACCGACCATTATTATTTGAGACATTTCGTCTTGTGATTTCAATATTGTTGCTATGCAAAATAGGCAGTCAGGTGAAATATCGGGGCTCTTTAGAAAGTGGTCGTGTCGCACAAGTGATTTGTTATTGGCATCCACTGTTGATAACCGAAGGAGCGTTGCTTGTAGGTCGATGCTGTTATAAAATAATGTTATTGTAATTTGAAATCTATGCTTTAGCTAGCTATGTTAAGTAGTTATTAGTTTCTATAGACATTTCTCATTTTATTTGTCATAAATTAAGTTTTATTCTCGATCAAGTAATTTAGGGAACGTATTTTTTTATTAACTCAAGTTTGAGTGTTCAAAGTTGTGCTCCTAAATGTCTAAAGGATAATTTGATTATGTCTAACGCCAACTCAATGTATTAGAAGTAGAGGACCAGTGGTTTTGTTCTACGTACAACTTTATTTATTTATTCTGGATCAATTTACAGTAGTTCTTCGTCTTCTTTTGTGGCGTTCACCCCGACATTAGGGTATTTTGCATTTACAGTAGTTATATTGTTAATTAATATATTCAACGTTACACCTAATTATTTAATTGCCTATATTATTTTTATGATATCTATGGTTATAAGTACTTAAAAGCACATTGTCCATACTGAAAAAGCTCAACCAAATTATTTTCAGACGATAACCTTGTATGAGCGACCCCGTAATGTTAGCGCGAGTGAGAGGGGTGTAACACAAAGACACAGGCGGAGCGCAGGGCGCGGGGGGCGGCCCGGGCGAGGGTATGTGATTCGGGATTCTAGGGATGATCTTGCTTGCTCTCGCTTCCTCTCGCGTTACTCTGGCACCGTTCGTCGCGGCCGTTGCACATATCCGACGGTCGCGGTGCCGCACTATCAAATTCGATCTGCACGCGAATAGTCACTCGTATCGTACATCACTAAACAATTTAAATTTCGAACACCGATTTTAGTCGCCAAATCTGAAATAAAATGACGATTCGCGATTGTTGTGGATTCTGATGTGATTGAATTGGCAAAGATTGGATTTTAGTGAAGATTTTTATTAGTGAATGTAATTAGACATAGTTATTATACTAATTAGTAAAGATTAAAAACACAAACTATTAGAGTCTCCTTAGGCGTAGGTAATCATATCACAAAGTGACTATAATTTAGAACAAAATCATCTAAAATAAATTTTAGCAGTTCGGCTATTATTGTGTGAATGGACAATGTTGAAAAATGTTACAATATCGCCGAATGCTGAACTTTGATACAAGTCCGAAAATGAAAATATCTGGTAAGCATATAAACATATACTTAAGGTATGACGACTAATATTTTTTTTTATTATTTTTTTAAAGTCAATTAATTAGTTAAGTGGCTGCTTATACGAATAGGTGGTTAATATTAGTTAGGTGTTAGAAATTTTAGAATTCGCTTCGAAAAAAAAAAAAATAACAATGTTAATCGTAAAAAAGGAACAGGGTAATAAACGCTATTATTTTATTATACCTGTTTGAAGTATATTAAAATGTATGTTATATATTTATCTTTAAAAAGTACCTATATATTTTATTACAGTTAAGGTATCTCTATGCACCTAATTAAAAATTTATCTAAACATAGGTAGCTAGAATTTTAGATATTATAAGTACGTAGATATTATATTCTGTGATATTTTCTGCTTAATAATTTTTCAACGGCTACGTAATATGTAATTATAAGCAATGTGTTAGTTCACCGTCGGGATGGTATTTTTTGCATATCATTTCTCTATATTGATCTGTGAATATCTACGTACTTTCTTGTAACACTTAATACACATAATATATCACTATTTTTACACGCGACTTCGTCTGCATGACATTTAAATACTTTTTTATTTTAATTTGTATCTTAAAAGCTATTTATGGTAATTGTATATGTAGAGTCCGTTGGCAATTGATTAATTTGTTTTCTTTTTTTTTCTTTCTCCAATTTTCTTTCTACCTTTTAAGGAACTTGTCGTAAAATTGCATCTTCTGTGTATAGACTCTCAATCATCTGCAGTACACTGTATGATAGTTTTTTTTGCTTATAGATTTATTCATTCATTCTTTCCGGATTATCATCTGTTCAGAAATCTCTACATTTCATCTTGACAAATATTTGCCTTTTCTATCTATCTTATCTTTGCACTAAATTCTCGAAAATTACGACAGGAATACTCGTGGGATGAACAAACAATAAAAAATATTCTATATAATCCACTCGTGTAGATGAGAAACAGAAATTGGTTGAATTGGGAATAAATTAGGAATAAAATAATTTATTCACCTTAATCTATATATTCAGCATAGGTAATTTTAGGCTGATAAATTGTTTCATATCTGTTATATACCTAATATTTAATTATATATAATTATATATATATATACATATATGTCATGTCTTTTATTGAGGTAGGCAGAAACAATGGAGCGCCAAATGCTTCAATTCAAACAAAGCTCTTTCGGTTTCTCCACATTCATTATTATTAAATATACTTAATAATATGATATTAATTAACTTTATTCGTAATTCAACTGATTAGGTACAATATTATAGATTATTGTAACAATTCTAATGCAATTCATAGGGTTTATTCACGCATTGGTACTGTTATTTTATTAATATTCATGTGGTTGTTCCTAGTTGTGTAATAAATTCTTATATTATCATTGTCATCATCATCATGTCAGCCTTCTGCCTTAGTAGTTGCCACGCTTGGCAGGCGGATTGGCAACCGCAGTTATGCTTTGGAGATGTTTTAAGAGGGACGCTGCTGCCCATCCCTCGCCTTACCTTAGTCGCCTCTTACGACGCCCACGGGAAAGGAAGGGGTGGTCCATTCTTGGCCTTAACCACACGGCATTATTCCTCCTTACTTATTATCAACTAAAAATTTCTTCGTCAGCCATTATATTATTTATTCTATGATGTCTTAGGTCACTTCCGAAAGAAAGTATATACTTTTTTTAAATTAGATTTATATTAAAATAATAATAATAAAAAAAAAATATCATGAAATCATATTTATTAATCATTAAAGTCTTTTTTTTAATACCTAACTTATGTAAACCATATGATTACAACTTTATTTTCAAAACGAGAATAGATTAGCTATTATGATGCATACGCAGATTATACAGATGGAGTATCTCCATACAAATGCTTCGAAGAAAGCGGCTTAACTTTTTCATACAGTTTTGCGTGATAAGTAATTATGAGTGTTTCCTTTATAATTTCTATATTGATTTTGTTTTTTTTTGCACCTTTTTAATGCATAATACTAATTTTATTTATTAAATAATTAAATGTAGATACATTAAGATACATTATGTGCCTAAGTATATAGAACATTGATAAAAACGAGTCAGCTAATTGTCAAAAAGTTGACCCGTTTTTGAAACTCGATGTCTAATCTAAGGATGCATAATAAATAAGTAAGTATAAATTGGTATGCACATTTTATCTAGTCGTTTAGATGCAAAAAGAAAAATCTAGCACTCTTCATTTTTACCATAGATAAACAGACCACTAACTGTCACTTAATTTTTTTCTAACTCTTATAATATTATCTGTGGTTCTGTTAAGGGTGTGCGAAATGAACCACCAACATTTTTTTTTCTATAACAAAAACTATTTAAAGTGGTGTCACCTTTTGGCGGGCGCCGCTGGGTTGAAAGCTTGTTTGTTTAAGTACGTATTGGTCGTTTATTAGTATAGTTTATTTTTGGTTTATTTGTAGTATTGTGGTGTGAATAGATGTAGGTTAGATAGATACATACTTGTAGGTAAATATACCATATAACCATTCTGTTTCAACAGTGTTTCGAAAACCGTATGAGTTTTTTGTTGACATGTTATTCTCTACTCTATGATTTTATAGATAGGTACTAGTTATGATATATGGTACTCATATATATACATGTAATTTATCTCTTACAATAATCTCATAATCATAATACAAAGTATAATGCTTGTTGTATTGTTTTATTAAGTTGACTGGAAGTGCTTTTTATTCATGAAATCATTTTTATCATATTTTTTAATAATGATTATAAAGTAGGTATATTTTTGAGTACGTAAATGTAAAGACCAAACCTGAAAAGAGTGAACGAGAGGGAGACTTTGTACAAAAGTCGATTGTTTGGGTACCTCTGTCCCATTCATGTTTCAATCGTGAAGCAGCTGTGTTTGCGTGGCTGTGTTTCGGTTTGAAGGGTGGGATATGGCGTTGACATTCCTGAGTCCTCAGGAATGGCAACGCATGGTGGGTATCATGGGCGAAACAGTATACTCTGTTATGTCCATGGTACTGCTCATGTCTATAGGCGACGGTTACCACTTTCCACCAGGTGGACCGTCAGCTTGTTTGCCATTCTAAGTAGCATAAAAAAAAGAACATTAATTAAAATAATAGAGAATAGAAGAGGCAAAATGTTGGGCCACCTTATACACCATGAAATTTTTTTTAAGAGTATAGTAGTGGAAAAAATAGAGGGCAAAATAGGAAGAGGAAGACCGAGGAATAACTACATGGGACAGATAAAACACTAGGTGTCATGTCGTATAGGGAGATCAAGGATATGGCCTGGGATAGAACTGGCTGGAAGAAGATGCATGATTTAGTTGCACCGACAAGAGGAAACTCTTAAATGAAAAAAAAAAAAAATATAATGGATATGCCAAATTTCCATTTTCAATTCCCTTAGATTCAGTTGATTTATTTTCAAGTGCTAGTTTAATTTTATTCAGTTATTTACACGTATTTAATTATATAGCTAACGTAAATAACATAGAAGTAAATAGTTTTAATTCAAAATGAGCGAAATAGAATAATAGTTTCATAAACATGATAATTATAGGTAGGTAATAGATTCTAAAATAGTACAGGTGAACGTGAAATATAATAAATTAATTATATTCGTAAGTAATTTAATTAACTAACATTAAGAGTTCAATAATTATATTATTATAACAATTCCTCTTTTAATTTTAATTTAAAATTAAACGTAAATATGCTGATAACTTAACTTTCTGATTTAGTGACAATCGATATGGCCACATTTGCAGCGGTGAACACACTGCTTTGCATCATGAAGCCCCTAAGGGTTTGATTTACAGTTGGACCAATTTAGGAAACAAACATTTCTAAATTGGCTTGGGTCCAGGTGTACCTTTTTTTAATACAACTTAGAATGGCAAACAAGCTGACGGCCCACCTCATGGAAAGTGGTAACAGTCGCCTATAGACCGACTATACTATATGAGCAGTACCATGATACCCCCCATGCGTTGCCATTCCTGAGGACTAAGGTGTTATTCCTCTGTACCCTTTAAATTCGCCATATCCCACCCTTCAAACCGAAACACAGCCATGCAAACACAACTGCTGCACGGTAGAAATACGAATGGGATAGAGGTGCTCAAGCAATCGATTTTTGTACAAAGTCTACCTTCAAAAGTCCGTTGCCTAGTTTCCTATAACACAGGGTATTCTGGCTTGAATATCAGAGAATTGGTGTGATTGAGTGGCACTCTTTATTAATATAATTTTACTGACCATATCCAATGTAACAGGGGGTGAGCCTATCACCATGTCGCAGATTAATTTGATTTGTTAACGGTGTTTTCGTTTATCGGGTAGTTAGTTCATAAATTTTATTGACAAACAAAATTTTTAATGTAGACCAGATTTCAATTCCATTGAGGTATGTTAATTAGAGTATTTATAGCACTAAACTACGACGCTCTTAAGATATTTTTTTTAAGGGGTAAAAATGGAATGGAAAAATGACATGTCTGCCCTATTGGTATACACTGAGGGGGCACTAGTAAGAGATGATAAGTGAGGATGGCAGCAGGTTAATTAACCCACAGTGACGAATTCCACAAGAATTAATCACCATGGTTTCCAGGATGAACCGCGTGCGGGTCGACCTGGCAGTGTATATTGCTAGCATTTACCCTATTACTAACAATCCCTTTCTCTTTCTTATACATAGTTTCCTAACGTAGTACTGTTAATTTTACACAATGTGAAACTTATAGAAATTACAATATTTTTGGATAAATATAATTATTGTCGTCGGTCGTAATGTGAATATTTCCAACTCAATGGTTTATTCATTATTCCTAAGGTAATGTTAGAAAGTGCAGCTTTCCACGAATGTCTTACTATTGTTTCGGCTCAAATGAATTCTCACTCGCCGTATGTCCGATGAGGCACGCAGTTTTCATGCCTACTTAACATCACACTTGGCTGTTTAAAGATATTTTCCAAACGATTTTGAACTTTGAGTCGTTAGATTATGATTTATAGCTCGTTAGCATTCACTGGTTTATGTGTCGGGCCGTGAACTCGCGGTGACAGAGCGACGCAAACCGTGTGTTTATTGTCAGTCTCCATGGCTAACTCGTGAAATCAGCTTGCAGTGGGGTCTGCAAACACAAATGCTCAGAGTCGATTCTAAAGGATTTTTTAAATACAAATCAGTAATAAAATTTTAATGCAACAACGTTTTAGATCAATAGGTACGTATATTGAACCAAAATTACTAGAAACAAGTAATAACCCATAGTTTTGCTCGTTAAATTAGAATAAAAGTATTCTATGTGTCTCTACGGTATGATCCATTCCTTATGCATTAGTATGATTGAGTAATCTTCATATTTATGAGTGAAATAAATCGTGAAATATTTAAAAAAGACATCTCTACTCCGTGTTTTGTTCAAACTATATTCTTATTTTAAAACTGGAGAGTTTCTGCGGAAACTGAAGATTTAACGACGACTCGTCCGCATTGTCCGTGCACGCAACGTTTGTGGACAAACGCGCGCCAAATGGAACTCTCGATGGCTAATTTGAATTTGAAATTCGAACATAACTTTTTACTATTCATCGGACCGTGTCAGCCAGTATTTTCAAAGATTGCAATTAAAAAGCAAAAAGTTTTTATTATCTGCATCTAAGAAGCAGGTGAAGTTGCATAGCAACCCAAATGCAATACCGACCAAACTTGATTCAATAAAAAGTAGGTCTATTCTTCGCGTTCACGCGCATCCTGGATATTGAATGGAAGTACGCTTTTATTATGTTAAGCAGTTATCATTTCTCTTGTAATCGTATTGTATTAAACGTTTATCAGGCGTCTAATTTTATAGCGTTTTTTTTATGACGCGTGTTTAGGAAGACGTATGGACAAGATAGGGGTTGTTTTAACAAGTATATTAGTAGTAATAGGGTGGGTTATGATTTATGGAGTGTCTCTTTCAGTTGTATTTGCTTAGGGTTGTATTTTATTGATGACACGTGTACGCTGCGTTGTATTACGAATTTGTTTCCTTCACTAACCACCGTATTCATTTTAGTTATTATACTACCGAGTTACAATTTAGAGCTTTTTCATAGTGTACGCTTTAAATAATTTAAATAGGCTGATATAGAAACTAATGAGAACTTATATTGTACTTTATTTAAGCTACAAAATTATGTGTTTGCGTTAGAATTGTTTTATTACATTTATGATTTATGAGTAGGTACTTTACCTAATTGCGTATTTCTATTACTTAATCTTTTGCAATTAATCAGAATATAATTTAAAATATACCAAATAGTAGGTAAGAAAGGACGCACGTGTATTAATAGTATACAATAGTTATTGGTAGTAAGATTAGACTTGTTAATGTTAGTCAAAATTAATTTTGGTAATACACGAAACATATAAAAAAACTAAATAGTACATATATGTTTATTAAGAACTAAATAGAATTATGTGATAATTTAAAACATTAATTATCTTGCAACCCTAAAGTCTATAATCAAAATAAAAAACAAGACTACCAAGCTAAAGGACAAAATACGAGTATTAGGGTTGTGCAAAGTAAAAAAGTAATCAAAGATGCTCGCTGAATTTGCATACAGCAGGGATGCTCTGAGAGACAAGCGGAAACCCTTTGTGGTGAGCGGAAGCAGGCATAATGCGATCAGCATCTTGCTCGTCTTCTGTTTTTAGTTAATTCTTTAGAGCTTGCTCTGTAGTTTCTAGTGATGTGTTGTCAGGTTGCTTGATACGAGATGTCAGTACGACACTAGAAATGTATATACTATATATTGTTTCTGTTTAAACTCTTTAAATAATAAAAAAATAACTCTCTCGACTCACTTGTAAAATAATACATATTATAAATATATCTTTCTTTTTTTCATATGAACAATGAATATTAACACAGTTTGAGAAACCTATAGATGATTAAGTTCTTTTATGTGTATGGGAGCTATGAAACGAGGTTAGCTTGGAGAAGAATAATTTTCTTTTATTTTTTGTATTATTACTTTATTAATTAATATTATTCTGTTTGTAATATATTGTCTTGTTTGCAAATTAAGATAGTATTGAGATACTAAACAATAATAATCTGAGAAGTATCACTAGAATGTTTATTAATGTGATTTTTTTTTTCCACAGCAGCCGATAGCCAGGAGTCTGGCAGTCCACCGCCGAGCCCGACGGACTCCGTCGGGTCGGAATCTGCTCCTACCCTAGTCCACATCAAGCAGGAGAACATGCCGCCAGGAGCAGATGTTAAGGAATACTATGGCGGCCTCGATTTTGGACTCTCAGATACATATCTCTCACCAAACTACCCTGAATACGGCCCTGGATATCTCTCTAGACCACTTGACTTACAAAACCAGAAATTTCTAGATCCAGACAAAAGTTCCAAAGACAAAGACGACTCCACAAAAGACGACGAACCAGAGGAAAACAATTTTAATATTCCGAATGAACTAATATTGAAAAATGGCGGTGTGTTCGCTAGAACGAATATTTTAGTCGGAACCAAGTACGGACCATTTATGGGCAAGTGGGGGACGCAGCCGTTGGACTCAAAGTACGCTTGGGAGGTAAGTTTTTAAAGGAGTGATGACAAGGCCTCTTTCTTCTTGTTAAGGTTAACTTACAACCCATTTGGGTGAATGAACCACTTGTATAAGTTCGAGTCAAGTGCGTGAAAATTGGGTGTCAGAATGGGTTGGCTTGTTAATAAATTAGAGCCAAAATTGAGGCGCACGTCAAGCGCAGATGCAATAAAGTGTCGACTTTATTGATGTCTCTAAATAGTTCGATTTCTTGTTTTTTTTCTGTTTATTACAAAAATTTGACACTTGTATCCCGAGTCTGACATGACAATTATTATGAGTGTTGTAGTAATTCTATGATTTGAAAGTATGTGGTACTGATAAGAGGAAGAATTAAGCAAAGATTTTAGAAAGATCGATAATAAATGTTTATTTTGTTAAGAACATTTTAAAAAGAGATAAATTCGTCTGTGTTTTTATAGCTATAGTAAGCAAACATATCGTTAATTTTGAACTGATTTAAAAATTTTTTGGACGACTTATTGTTTATTTGTCTTGGTCTCGTCTAATTTTTTTTAAATGTAAAGCTGTTATTTTGTAGAGCGTTGAGAAGTAAAAACGATTTCTTGCCAAATAAAATCTACAGACTTTTTTAATTTCATTTCCTATTTAAGCGCTCTTGTCGGCGGAGCTCTTGCACTACGATTTTTAATGAATCCCTTCACCTCTTGATACTCTTTTTTCCTTGATCTGCTTGATGTAACTATATGTAATGTCTTGGTCTCCCACTACCCCTTCTTCCTTGTATCTTATCTTCTATTATAATGTTCATACACTTCATATAATGCATTATAAATTTTCATATTTCCAATCTAAGACGTATATAAAAGATCAAGTCGTTGACGATCTAATCGCGTCGTTTTTTTGCGAAATGAAATGAAATTATAATAGATTTAGAAACGCAGAATAAACTATATCTCTATAATATATCTATGCTAATAAGTAACTATAATTTCTTAAATAAATCATTTACAAGTGCAATATTCTCTGAATGTGAGCATCAAAAACGCAATTGAATGCAATTTTTAATCCGCGAGGGGTGTGGCGGTTATCTGGTCGTAGGAAACGGAAATCAATTGTTATATTACGCTCGGATTGCTTTAGAAACGTATAAAATTACTTTAAAATTCTCAATAAAGAATTTTATAACGCAAGCAATTAAGTCTGGCAAATATGTATGGCATCTTCGAATGGTATAAAGTTCTAAAACTGAATAGAAATATATCCATTTTAATTTCGTCATATTTGTTTATCACTATGTCATATTACGTTTTGCAATTGTTCCTTTGTGATATTATATGAAGATGCTGGATAATAATTTAAATTATTAGCTATAAATAATTAGCTATAATAGCTGTGTGTAATAACAGTGAATTTAAAATTTATTAAAGGTAGTGGAAATCGCTTCACTTCACGACGTTGGTGGTGGGTTTACACACTAGCTCATATTACGATAAGTGCTGACTCGATTCCTATTCAATACAGACATTTGTATTTGTGAGTATGTTCGTTTGTATTTGTTTAGTATTTTGATATACATTTTTATTTTATGAATTCATAAAAACTTTGTATTTTTAAAACTTGTACTTTGTGTTGTCAACATTTTATATAAAGATATTTCAATATTTATCACTAACATCATATCAGCTATTAACTGCCCTCTACTGCACACAGGCCTCTCCCTATTGAGGGGATTTTCTAGTAGTTGTCACACGTGGCAAGCGTGTTGGCAAATGCAGTTAGGCTTTGGTGATGTTTTAAAAAGGACATTGCTGCCCATCCCTTGACCATTAAGTTCTCTTTTTGTCTTTTTTAACACCCACGGGAAAGAAAGGAGTGGCCCACGCTATGCTGGGACCTCACGGCAAATGTTTTTTGCTGAGTTATAGTTAATCAGTTGGACACATTTAAAAAAAATTGGGTACATACAAATAGATCATATTTTAGATTACCTTTTATTTAAAAGGGTAAAATTACGATTATTACCTAGTATCTTAAATCTAAAATTTAATTACCCGGTAAACATTTAATTTGACATGAACGTAGTATTTGGTAAAGAAAAGATCTTACACTAATTTTAATTTAATCCACTCGGACAAAGTCGCGGGAATACCTAGATAATATTGCAAAACAGATAAAGTACCGGATGCGCAGTATACGGACATATAATAGTCACGAGAATCGAGATGCGCGTTATCAAATGTCAGTACAATACTGAGACAGACAGACAGCGCGACTGCGTTGTGTGGCATTGTGGGTGTCGTATTGCACTAAACCACACCATTGTGCACTATAAGCGGACATTTAGTTCCGGCCCGTGAGCCTATAGTCCATTATTACATTGATGAGAGCATTCACAACACAATGTCAACATAACGTCAAAAGAATAGTAAAGTATCAACAATTCAATTATCGTTAGATTCTTCAGCTACTTATGTTATCTGTGTTTTAGCTAATATTATAAATTAGAAACTTTAACATCAGGTGGGCCGTATGCTTGTTTGCAACCTTAGTGGTAGGTAGGAAGGGATTGTTAATAATAGGGAGATTAGTCCCTACTGCTATCAATATATCATATCGGGTCGACCTCCATGTGGTTGCCCCTGGAAACTATCGTGACTAATTTACCGTTGTATTAGTCACGATGGGCTAACTGACCTGTCTTTTCATCCTCACCAATTATCCCTCACTGGTGCCCCTCCGGTGTATACCGATAGTGCAGGCGGGGTTACTATTTCATTATCATCAATTAAAAAAAAACCTCAGTGGTATAAAATAAGTTTGTACAGTTGTTTTAGATAATCACGCCACAGATAATCTAATACTATAATAGTTTTCCCGTAAAAGCGGTTTTAGCGACTAGCGGCGGTGAAAGGTTTTGAAAATTTAGACTATAGATTAGGCATGGGTGGATAATATGGACAGCGTTCCGATATCTATATCTATATATATATATATATATATATATATATATATATATATATATATATATATATATATATATATATATATATATATATATATATATATATATATTGGTTTTTGCTCGACATTGATAGCGGAAAAAAGGTCATCACCCATTTTGACATCGCTTATACTTGTCGGATATCCATATTCGCTTCGATTGGGTTCTTCACTTCCACATTATATATTGGATAAACGATATTTAATATATCTGTTATTTGGCCAATATATAGATACTGTAGCTAAAATATATAGATATTGCTGTAGTGCAGATAGATCATGTAACAATTTCTATATATCCTATTAAGAGCTGCGCTCTTGTTGGTGGAGTGGTTGGACATATATGATATATAATATGCTAATTTTTGTGAATAAAACCGAGGTATATATGTAATAAATTTTATAAATATGAAAATTTAATAAATACTCTAAATTTTTCTTACCAAATTATATTAAAATAGGCGAACCTGTTTGATTTTAAATGATAGCATAAAATATGTTTTTTTATCGCAAATACAAATTCTTGCATTTATTCACTACACGGTAAGTTGTTTGATCTAGCTTGTACGTGACAGTAGTGTAAAAGGGCCAATTGTGGCCACGTCATTAGTGACAAACGGTGGACAAACGCTGACCGACTCACTTCCGACCCACTGGCCATAAAAGAATCTTTGATAACTTCTCTGTTCTCAAATAACAAAGTAAACAGAATGGGCACATTTAATGAGAATCACTATCTTATTATTACGAAACACGAATCGGTTTCGGTTATTTTTTATTTTTTATCTCGAGAACCACTATATATACATTCTATTGTATATAAGTATACCCAATTGAAAGGATTGCTTTAATTCACATGTCTACGTAAACTTAAAGGGGTGGTGAGTATTGTTAAATCAGATATGGTAACATTATCTAACCACCGTTTCCCAAATGTCGATATCTCAATAAAATCTTCAAGTGAAAAAAAAAAAAACCTATCCGGGTAATCAACGAATTCTTTAGAACATCCCGTGTCAAAGTGCAATAAAGGTTGGCTTAGAAGAAACCCTAATTTCGGTTTAGGCGTGACCCCCGTCAACAATTTTTTTTTATTAATAAAATTTTACACTTTTTTAACTAAAAAAATGAAAGTAACGGTAAAAATCACAATGCGAGATGTCGCTGTATTCATACTTTAAAATGAAAAGTTGATTGGCGAGTTTTTTTTGCGTGAATCGAAACGTCACCGAATCTCTTGAAATGCATCTTTTTATTTTTTAAAAACTTTTTCGTTTTCAAAGATGCGTAAATATTTTCTCACCGATTTAAACAACGTATGCAGAAGTCCCCCAGTGATCTATCCTAAATCTTATTTTAAATTGGATATTAGAAGAGGTCGTATGCAAATATTTCTAATACATTCATGTTTATGATAAACTAATATTTATTTAAAAGAATCTCTTTGGAAATTAGTAATCAGATGGATAAATTTAACATGCGATAACCTGTTTTTTGAATAGGGATCATAATAACAAATGTCAATCACGAAATTATGAATTTATGGATATGCAATTATGGATGTTCATTCGCGGGGTTCAACTGTCTAAATTGATGTGAAATTGACACGCTGTGCGATCTGTTAATTATTATTACAAAAGCCAATAATCATTATATTCTTAGAGATAGGTAGGGTAGCTATAGAGAAGTGACTAAAATATTTGAGTACGTTCTGAATTTTTGATGGGATTCATGTTAATTTTACAACGAAGCGTTGGTGCATCATTAATACGTTAATAGTATTGAAATAAAATTTGAAATTATTTTGTTAATTTATAGTTATTATTATCAATTATTTTATTTACCAAAATGTATTTTCCCTTTTTATAATTATGTTACAAAACTCGAATAAAAAAATCATTGTAGTTACAAAATATTGGAGAAGATTACATAGGTAGAATTAATATTCATACAGAATTAGAATTTTAAATACTACTACTTTTGAATTTTTAAACAAATTCCATTAAAAATAACACATATAA